GTAAATTTTGTGAGTAGCTTTGGATTAAAGTTCTTTAGATGCTAAGCAGCTACTAGGCTACTAAGAATATTTTCTATTTCCTTCCCTTTCTTTTTGCCTTTAACAGATCCGTGCAGTTGGCAGGCTAAAAAGAGAGCGCTCTATGAGTGAAAATGCTGTTCGCCAAAATGGACAGCTGGTCAGAAATGATTCTATGTGAGTAGAACCACTAATCATTGCAGCTCCTTTGTAAGTTGCTCAGTAAATTATATCCATCTTTTTCTAAATAATTACTTTTCATAGATTTTAAAATTTGTTTTACATTTTTGCAGTACTTTTTATAGTCTTGAAATCTGGCCAATTTATCTTATGTTAGACAAATTGATAAATGTAAGTGCTCAATTATGTGCATTAAAAATGTTTAGCATGTAGATTGAAAAATTAAAAAAAGAAAATGTAGTACAGAGTATCTTTATTTTCAGTTTATTTAAGTTGTTGTAAGATTGTGAACTAAGTCCTTTCAGGCTCTGCTTCTAATGAGCAGTGGTAAACAGTGTAGCAAAAACAAGTGGAATTTTCTTTTCAGGAATATTTTTAGCTTTCTACCTACTGATTCCCATTGAATTATTAGGATCCTTTTTTTTTTTTTTTTTTTTTTTTTTGCTGTTTTTGGCTGGGGTCAGGTTTGAACCCGCCACCTCCGGTATATGCCTGTGCCCTGCTCCATTGATCACAGGCGCTGCCCAGGACCCTTTCATTTTCAAAAAAATATAAGTATTTGTTTAAATGACTGTTTGTTTAAGCCTTTCTTTTTCATTTAGCCATGTTATCATACACTGATTTTAAAGCTACTACAAGATAATTTTAGATCAGACAAATGCTTTTTTATTGGTTTATTCAAAGTAATGGATTTTTACAAATATCTCTTGAAACTGGTCAGAATTTTAAATCTGTAAGCCATTGGCAATGTTGGCTTTTAAAATAGATTTTTAGATTGTTTACATAAATTAATACTTCTTAAGAATTTTTTGGCTGGTTTTTGTGAGCTCTCATGAACCATATGTGATCCCAAGCATCATACTAGCTTTTCTATGCAGGAATCAGGAGATGATATACCTCTTCTTACAGCTAGCAAATCTGAATAAAAGCAAAATATTTTATTTACACAATGACTAGAGCACAATACAATTATTTATATTATACAATATTAAGTTATAGTTTGGACCTGAATAAAGAATATTGGGGTATAGAACGGGCCTTTATGGGGTAGGGTCTATTATAGAGAGGGGATTGTTCTTCCCCTGTATTTTTATCTTTGCATTGAATTTGCTTGCTTTATTGAAATTCCATTTTCTGTGTTAGCTGCAAAGGAGAATTATAATTATCCCACTTGGAGAATCTTGCAATGTCTCCTAAAGTAGTTATAGTTATTTTGAAGGTTATTTAGGAAGAGAGTAAGTTAAAATGAATATACTGTATCTCCTTCAGGGAATACTTGTCTGAAAGGTTCAACCACTATTAATAGGAAATTACTTAGGTGAATTGTACTTCCCTGATGGTACCTGGTCAGTAGCGATGTCAGCAGGCCCATGAAATCCATTTTTCTAGACTCTTTCCCAATGTGCCATACAAATGGTAAAAAGGCTACATAGTTTATGGCTGAGGTAGCCTCTGTAGTATCTCTTCAGAATGATTAAATATGCCCAAGGAGGGACTTAGTTATTTTCTTTTTATAATTTTCTTAAGGCAACAGACATTTCTAGTAAACTTTTGTGCTATATAAAGATGTAGCTTACTGTTTGGGTCCTTAATCACTTTGACATTTTGTATTAATAAAATAAGATTATTGGTAGCTATGTTCAGTTGACAAGAAAGGAGACAGCTCTATTATGTATGAAAATCAGTCCAGTGAAGTATGAATTAGAGAACATGATTAGTAATAGACATTTTTGCATTAATCCAATAACATAAGTTCTTGATAATAGAAAAGATTAACAGTGCTAACTGATACTTGATTTTCTTTTCTTTTTTTCCTTAAGTAGCCTTCATGGCATTTTTCTAGATGTTTAATAAAACTGAAAATCTCATATTTTGAAAATCTTTTATGTGGTAGAGAAAGTAACATGAATCTTTATACATTTTCACAGCAAAATGCTTAACATTACTTACCTATATTTTTGGTGTGGTGGCTTATGTATTTTTCCATGCTATGGTAAGATACTTAGCCATCATCTTGTTAATAATATAACCTTGCCCTTCTGCCATTGTTAATTTTAAGTTGAATTCATCTTTAAGAATTTATCTCTTATTAACTTTAGGAATTTTCTCTAATGAGCACATTATGTATTCACTGTTAATGTGATAAGGAAAAAACTATTAATATAATACAGCTGTATTTTACCTCCGTTGAAGTAATTAAACTCCTACTGTCTGTCCCTACTTTAGTCTTTTCTTGTAACGTGAGGTTATTATGCATTATTGTGCATGAACCTTTGCCTGCCTTCGCTGTATTTTATTCTGTGGCTTTAAGAATAGAAGTATGAACAGGTATAAGGACAGGGCACTGACCCTTGTTTTCTTAATTACTTTGAAAGGGCAGTAGGATTGATTATTGTCAGCTATTGGCACAAAAATGAATTCTGAACAATAGAATCGTATCTATCTTTTTCTTTGTGTTATAAAAGCTGAATATGTAAAAGAAGCATAATTATTATTTAAGGTGGCACAGATCAGATTCTGCCCCAAGAAATAAAATTTCAAGGTTCCAGGCACCGATTTCTGCACCGGAGTACACGTAAGATTTTATCTGCTCTGCTTTTCACAAGTAGGAGTTGTTTTAATTTTGCAGGATTATGTTAATACTAATCTATTTCAACAGGTAATTGGCATAGAATACCCTAATTCTCTTACTGTTTGGCTTTTTAGTACTTCTGCTTCAGGATTTCTCAAACTGTCATCATACACTTCATTAAGAAAATAATAACTAGACTAAGGAAGTTTGTATGATTTGTGGTGTGTTAATGAAAGATAAATAGACTAATTTCCACATAAGGATCAAGCATTCTTTTCTGTTTTCTTTGCTTTGGTTGGGATATTAGTTCTCTTCAGATCCACCTTAATGATTAAGTTAAGTGATCCCAGTGTTTTGTTTTGTTTTAATTTCAGCATACTATCTTTTCTTCTTTTATTTTGACCCAGAAGGACAATGGAGTCTCAGTGTGGCTTGTCATTGTTTTGTAATTCCAGGGATTAAAATTATATGGTAAAGATTTTGTTTTGCAATTAGTAAGCCCAGTCTTTCTGTAAGTATAACAAAGTGAATGCTGACCTCACGGGGGAGAACCTTTGGGGACACAGGATAGTTCTTAAGCCACAGAAGAAACCGCAATGACAGCCAATAATTTTTCTCTTATTCCGGTTCTATTTGGCCTTTAGGAACTAGTAAATTGCCTTAGATAATGGCAATATATTAAAGTTTTCTCGATTTAAAATTGTAAGAGAAGTTAATATAAAAATTTTTTCTCTTCTTTTTTATTGTTTTACCTTTACAGTGTTTTGGAAGAGGCTAGTGCTTCACTGAAGAGGTTAAACTTACAGTTTGAGACACATTATTCCTATGAAACCCATAGAGAAAAGAGTACTTGACTTCGAGCTTACCTCTTAATGATGTAGTTATGCCAAGTAAACTGTAATTTAAATTTTAGTTCTCACATTGGCTAGTGTTGTAATCTCATGCAAAAAGATTTTGTGTAAGCACGAGATGGAGCTATTACTAATGAAATGAAGTGTTAGTGCCTTTAAAATTTTCTAATTTTTTATTTTAAAAAAGGTTAAGTTGAAACTTTGCTATTTTATAACATTACTAGGATCAATTTGTTAAAGTGTATTTGTATTAAATTACAAATACATATAATGACATTTGCTTAAATAATCTTCTCAGTGCCTTTACACTAAGCTTACTTTTTTATTTTTTGCAATAGTTTTCTTTCTTTTTTTTTTTTTTT